ATCACCCGCCCAACGCTCTATTCGTTGGTTGTGATCCACAAGTTTGGATTCAACATCCTAAGAGGTGCGGTGAGCGTGGACTCATATCATCAATAAGAAGAGGAGCATCCGCTGAAGAGAAACTCACTTGAGAGAACCTCAAACAATGAGTCCATTAGAGAATTTGTGCAACAAAAAATTCAGGAACTTCAAAATCAAATTGTGGGACAAATGGCAAGACTTATTGGTGTTGTACTTGAGGGAAGAACATAATCTTGTCAAGAACAATACCATCAAGAATAACCCAAACCTCAAGGCCACCGGATGACTCAAGGGCCTAAAGAATTGACAAATCACAATATCAAGACAATGATGTGTATACACCAAGGTTCAAACCACGAGCTGGGAAAATGGAATTCTGTTGTCACTTGGAGAATGCATTCTCATGACAGATTGTCAATGATATGCCCTTTGAGAAGTTCAAAATTCCATCCTTGGAGTCTTATAAGGGTTAGAGTGATCTGATCAACCACATAGCCTCCTTTGACTCGAGCTTCTTTTTGCTCAAAGTCTCCTTCACACTGAACTAGAAGATATTCTACACCACACTGAGAGATGCAACCCTCAGATGTTTTAATGTTTTCCCGATAGGAACTATCCTCGATGAGTTTAAAAAGTTATTTATGATGCATTTTGCTAGCGTCCACAAGCTTGTAAGGACTCACAATCCTTGTGGTAAACGAGAGACTTCAAGCATATGTCACTTGATTCCAGAAAATGCTTTAAGTATGAAATCTAGAGCCCGTGATAGCATAAGTCACCCTGGCGCAGGGGGTAAAGAGTGCACAGTTCAAATACTTTCTAGGTATACATCAACACAATAGTCTGGCCAAACTCTTGAAGTTGACCAATGACACTCCAAAACCTGTTACGGGGCAAGTCGACCGTACAACACAAGTGCACATGTCAAGTAGTAATGTGGACAGTATCGCATATCAATCCCATAGAGAAAGTGTAATAGTTATTTCCATAGAAAAATCTCTAATTTACTAATTTAGCAAGGCTTGATCACAAAGAGAGTTTTAAATCCTAAAGTTTTAGAAAAATAGAGTAAAGAGAAAATAATATAAAGCAAAAATAACAAAAAGAATTTTGTGAGTTCCTTCAACATTTATAAGGCCCATGCCCTGTGATTCAGGGATCGCGACAATCATGACTTTCTTTATATGTTTTTTCTACGTGATTGTTGTCAATCGGGGATACAATACTCCCTATGCCTATGTCTAGATCAAAAGAAGCCTAGAATCCATGAATTAGAGGCTTCCTAAATCCCCATGGCATTCCACATGACTTTTTTGATCCCTGGAATGATTGCAAAATTCCATTAAAATATTTTTATTCTCTCAAAAGTTTGTGATTAACCCTTCGTTTCCCAAACTTTTCAACTAAAATTTTCCTTGAAACAAAATATTTCTATTCTCTTGAAATCTTTGGCATAAACGCCAAAAACTTGAAGCACCAAAATTTACCATGAAGCAAGTCAGTTGTACAATGCAAGTGCATGTGTCAAGTAATAATATGGTTAAAGAGTATCACACATCGATCTCACAGAGAAAGTTTAACTATTGTTTCCACACAAAAAAAAAATATCTACTTTACTAATTTAGCTAACCTAGTTTAGCATGATCACAAAGAGATTTTTAAATCCTAAGTTTCTAGCAAAATAGAGCAAGGAGAAGACAACAAAAAGCAAAAACAACGAAAAGACTTTTGTGAGTTACTTTATGATTTATGAGATCCGTGCCTCTGTGATTCGGAGATCGTGACTTTCCCACATATTTTTTGACATGATTGTTGTCAATCGAGAATACAGTACTCCTTATGCCTATATCTTGGTCAAAAGAACCCTAGAATTCATGAAGTAGAGGCTTCCTCAATCTCCGTGGCATTCCGCGTGACTATTCTGATCCCCCGATGATTGCAGATTTCCAATGAAATATTTCTATCCTCTCAAAACAATGTGGATGTTGGTACTATTTTGGTTTGGAGAGTTGCCCGTAAGAAGATGTCGGTCACCGAAATCGAAATCTCGTCACCTGCTTCGGAATGACATTTTAATGTTTAGAAAAATATGAAATTAAACTGACCCCACCATATTTTCATAGTTTAAATGAAAGAACGTTATACCTCAAACCATGTATCCCCAACTCAAGTGAGAGTTGAAATTACATTAACACTAAGTAATCCAACTAGAGAACATCTTTATCACTTGGTCTTCTTTAAGGTCACCAACAATCAGGTAGAATATGAAGCATTAATAGTCGGTCTACGTCTAGCTCTTGAAATGGGTGTCCGACATCTACCAGTAAAGTTAGATTCACAATTGGTAGTAAATTAAGTCAATAGAAAATTTGAAGTCGGAGATAGAATTATGATCAAATATTTGAACAAGGCAAAGGTGGAGAATAGAAAGTTTGCATAATTTAGGATTGAACATATTAATCAAGAAGAAAATAAAGTAACAAACCTTCTTTCAACAAATATTTACTTTAGAGATAGGACACCCCAAAGGCTTCTTCGACTGACCATTGAGGAACTAGAGCTCAAGAGGTAGAAGCTAAAAACATAGAGAGTTGGATGGATCCCTTCATCTAATATCTAGAGACTAGAAAGATCGCCATTGAGGAACTAGATCCCTTCATCTAATATCTAGAGACTAGAAAGATCTCAGAAGAAATAATGAATCAAAGGAGATTCAAGTTTAAAGCTGCATAATATCATCATTGAAGGTCAAATTTTATGCAGGTCAGCCACTTCGTTACTCCTACGATGCATAAAGAAAAATGAGGTGTATAAAACTCTCCAGAAGATACACTATGGCGAAAAAACCTTAGCATATCCTGTTTAAAGGCAGCGCTACTTCTGCCAACCTCACGAAAGAGGTAGAGGAATTTTCAAAAAGATGTGAGATGTGCCATAAATACGCTCCATTGCAACACCAGCCTGCCCAAAAGCTACAAGTGATTTTCAGCCCCCGACCTTTTGTCATTTAGGGACTTGACATCCTCGGGTCATTTTCCTTTTTAAAAGGCCAGCGTAACTTTATTTTCTTCATTATAAACTATTTTTCAAATTGGATAGATATAAAATCCCTCGTCTGGATTGCCATAGACATCATCCAAAACTTTGTTGGGACATATATCATCTGTTGGAATGAATTGCCTCTTATACTTATCACCGATAATGGAATATAATTTGCTACTCACAGAGTAAAATATTTATGTAAACTTTAAGAGATTAAACTAAAATTTGTATTTGTACATCATCCCATTACAAATGGACAAGTTGATGCTGCCAACAAGATAATATTAAGGTTAAAGGAGCAAGAGGTAATTGGGCAAACTTACTTCCATCCGTCCTATGAGTCATCTGGACCACACCGTCTTCAATGACTAGGAAAAAACCTCACATGCTTTCTCATGGGATAGAAACAATGTTGTCGGTTGAGTACAATCATCATAGTTAGAGAGTCGTTGCACCTACCTCAATCGACAAGGGAAATCTCACTTATTGGTAGGAGGAAAATGGTGAAGGAATGATGCTCACACTTGACATTCCAAAAGAAATTCAAACCAATGAAACACTCCTACAAGAAGAAGTTATGTGAAGGATTAATCAATACTTCAATAAGAATGTCTGAGAGAAGGCATTTGCTCTTGGTGACCCAATTCTGAAGAAATCTGACTCAACACACGAGGGCAATCG